CTCCAGCCAGGATCTCCTCTTCGCTGTGCAAGGACCTGGGCTGCAGCTTGCCAGCAAGGGTGCTGCCGGGGTGCAGGCGTGCAAAGCGCCCCAGGGCCCAGATGGGGAAGACGTTGCGGTAGGAGGTGTAGCTGATTGCACAGGACTTGTTGAACACCCCAGAGATGTTCTCCTGCGAGGGGAGAGAGACAGAAAGAGGCAGGATTGGCAGGGCGCTCGCGAGCAAGGGGTGCTCCTGCAGGAGGTCCCACAAGCCCTTTGCCCTCTCACAGGCCTGTTGCGGGTACTGTGCCAAGCACACACGTTATGACTGATGCGCCCATGTTTCCCACACGCCCCGGCACACGGATACACTCCCTGCTCACTCCCGCTGAGGCACGACACCGCACACACGCAGGGCCAGGCTCCCCACCCTGCTCCGGTGGCCCCTGGGGCCAGACATTGGCCAGCAGTGCCCAGGTGGGGATTGCCGTGCCTGGCACAGAGCCAGCATTAAGAGGCATGTGCAGCCTCCAGCACGTGGCGTGGTCGTGGCACGGATGGAGCGCGATGCTGGATGGGATTGTGACCAGCCCCATGTACTAAAACAGTCCTTGGGCTGCTCTCATGTGTGCTGGGGCCGAGGCCAGCAGGCAGCCGGCCCCAGAATCAGGCAATCAGACCTCCCCACCTCCCAGGGCTTCCCTGCAGCCACCGGCCCATCCACTCCCACCCGCTTAACACGCCGTGCCTGCATCTCCCCGTACACCTCCAGCCACTGAACAACAGGGGTCAGCGATGAGCCCTGCCCTGTTCCTGGTTCCAGCTGGATCCAGGGCTCCGCTACCCGAGGGCACAGGGCCCTGGGAAGGGTCAGGTGGGGCCACACAAAGCCACATGGCCCGAGCCAAGGGGGAATACCCCAGAGATATATAGAAGAAGCCTCGTCCTGCTCACAGTCCTTGCACCCAGGGCACCCCGTGGGAGGGTGAGCCGCTGGGATGCAAAACAGATCCGTGTCCAGGGATTTGACAGGCTACTTCCATGTGCACAAAGCAGCAAACCCTGCAATGGCACAGAGGGTGAGCACTGGCAGGGGAAGGCAGGCCACACAGGGTTGGCTTGGGGCGCTCTTTAGTTTGCCAGCGTGAACAGCGGGGAGATGACAGGCAGCTGGCAAAGCGGAGCCCGGGGGCAGCGTGGTGGGGAGAGGAGGGAGGTCAGTCAGAGACCCTGTCTCATCTGGAACACTCCCACTGCCGAGGGCGTCTGCTCCCAGAGCATTTCACTGCTCTGCAGCCTTGGGCTGCTTTGGGCCCTGCATGGCGCCTGGATCCCCAAGTAACCATGACAGCGAAAGCCCCCTCACCTCATCGCATCAGCCTGCACTGATCAGAAGCCGGCCTCACCCAGAGTGTATCCCGGCCCCCCCACCTCTCTGTGAGATCTAAGGCCCATTACTGCAGCTAGGGATGGACCGACAGGCCCTGAACAGCTCGAGCTGGTTCAACATGCCGCCCAGGTCACCCCAGTACCCGCTCCCTGCTCCGGCTCCCCTCTCACAGAGTCCAGGGCAAGGGCTCCAGCTGCTGTTCAAACCTTCTCCACCAGGGAGATCGTCCCTTCTCCTGCGACCATGACTTCTCCTGACAGCTGCATTCCAGCAGCTCACCCAGACAGGGAGGCTTTTCAATACAGGAGGCAGAGCTCTCCCTGGAGCTGGACCGGACTGTGGAACTCACTGCCACATGACAGAAGAGACCACGGGCCGGAACGAAATGCAAAGCTCAGCTCTTCCACGGAGCCATCCTCAGCCAGCGATTCCCCCTCACAGACAGCTCCCAGCAAAACCCTTTGAGCCATTGGCCTGCATCTCCCCCAGCTGGGAGGGATGAAAGGGAGTGGCTGGCTGAAATGCCTGCAGTGACAGGGGCTGGATACATTAGAGAGAGCAGCGAGGAGCTGCATACCTGAGGCCAGTCACCATTGGGCAGCTGCTTGTCAATCAAAACCTTGATCCCCTTTTCCAGCACCCCAACGTCCGGGTATCTGCAGAGAGAAGGGGCAGAGGTCAGTGGTGCTGACTCCGAATAGCATGCTAGCCCCCCACCCCCGCCATGTGCAGCCGCAGCCGGAGCTCTCCTCTCTCCCTCCCCGGCACCACAGCGGGGACAGGAAAGCTCTTCTCCTCTCCCCACTAGCCCCCAGCACTCACACTATGGCCACCCCCCCACCTGTGTGTCATTCACAGGCTGGCTCGGTGGGCACCAAAGGCCCCGGACAGCCAAGCAGGTGAGGAAGCACCAGGTCTGCGACAGCAGCCACATCCTGCAGTGCCCAGCACAGGGACAGCTCAGTGGTTTGAGCATTGGCCTGCTAAACCCAGGGTTGAGAGTTCAATCCTTGAGAAGGCCACTTAGGAATCTGGGGCAAAATCAGTACTTGGTCCTGCTAGTGAAGGCAGGGTCCCTTCCAGCTCTATGAGATAGGTATATCTCCATATATTATTATTATTATTTATTAAGGCTGGGGTGGCAGCTCTGGGCCGTGCTGCTGCCTTACAGAGCCTGGACACTCGCTGTGGGAGAGCTGGTGGCGTGACGATGGGCACCAAGCGCCAGCCCGTGGACTGGAGCAGTCACTGGCTAACCCCTCTTGGCACGGGCGCCTCCCAATTGCTGGGGCGTGTGCTCTGGGCTAGCCCAGGCGAGGACACGCAGAGCACAGCAGGGGGCAGGCATGGCGCGAATGAAGGCTTCCACGCCAGCGCCCCGGTGCCGAGGTCCTTGGCAGGGCTGTGCTCTGTGAATGCGGGTGAAGAGGACGATGTTCTGCGGTGAGAAGCGGGGTCGGTTCTCCTACCTGACGGCCATGAGCCCCAGCAGGGCCCAGCAGGTGTTGTGGATCTGGGAGGTGGGGCTCTGCACGTATCTGCGCTGCTCGCAGGACTCAAAGTCCTCTCCCCAGCCACCATCCTCCATCTGCTTGGAGACCAGGAACTGGCAGGCCTGGGCCACCTCCCTGCATGCGGCTCTGAAGGGACGAGGCAGAGCAAAGGGACTAAGCCAGGGCAGCCTCATGGGGCTTTGGGGAAGGGGCTGGTGGAGCATGTGGGGGCAGGAGACAGTGTGAAGCTGGGGCAGGGAGGCTCTAGCAGGAGCCGGGGTCTCCGAGATGAGACTTGGCCCCCGGGGATGGGAGCAGCAGCCTAGGGCAGACGAGGTTCCTCTGGTGAGTGCACAACCTGGCTCTGAACACCAGAGCCCCCAGCTACGAGCGGCCAGCAAGCTGGAGCCAGGGGGCCACGGGCTGGGGACAGGGCCCCAGGGGGCTGTGACTCTCAGTGAGCAGGGGACGGGAGGACAGAGGAGCCCGACCCAATGCCTGGCGGGGAAGGCTGCTCTGGGTTTGAACAAGCTCCTCCCCCAGCGGAGTGATGCAGCACCTCCTGTGCTCGAGGGATGGCGCCAGCCACTCCAGGCCATGCCCTGCAGGCCGTGGCAGCCAGGGAGCCACACGCCGGATTCCCACACTCACCCGTTCTGGTAGGTGTGCTGCAGACAGGCCAAGGCCTCCAGTCCGAACCAGGTGCCGTAGGTAAAGCACACGCCCCAGCTCCTGATGGGAGGAGAGCGGCAGCGTCAGGCAGCGCAGAACGCTCTGCGGGTCTGACACCACCGGCCCCCCGTGCCACAGACAGGCCTGGGAAGTCTCCACCTCTCAGTACAGTCCCTCCCCACCGCAGACCCTGGGAAGGGTCCCATCGCCTCAGGCTACGCTGAGCCTTTACTGGAGCTGTCGCACACACACGGGCCAGGAGTCGCATCCCATCCCACGTCGCTGCGTCTGGCTCGTCTCTAGTCCGCAAGCTAAGGGGGTTAGTCACTCACTGGGAGCACCCAGCGCCACAGGCACTGGTCTGCAGGGGGCCCTAGACACGACTGTAACAGGCCGGACTGCTGTGGGCTCCCTGAGCCAGCCCCCCACCCACCTCCCCCGGACACTGGCACACCTGAAGGTAAAGGGGAGAGAGGGTTGCCCAAGAGGGCAGGTACCAGCGCCTCTCTCCTCACCCCAGCCACCTCCTGCCCTGATCAGGGTGGAGTTTGCTGCACCAGCGGTGCACACAGCCACTCACCCTTCCCACGAGCCGTCAGCTCTCTGCACCCTGCGGCAGTACTCCAGGCCCTTGCGCAGCGTCTCTCTAGACAGGAGAAGAGGGTGCCTTAGTGTGCAGCGTCCATCCTCCTGCCAGCCCGACCCAGGGGCTCCTTGGGAGCTTGAATCCCCTCTGAGAAGTGGGGGCCCAGCCCCTATTAAAAGAGTCACTCAAGGGCCGTAAGCTGCAAGTGGACTGAGCCTCCACAGTAGGGTTACCATACGTCCGGATTTTCCTGGACATGTCCGGCTTTTTGGTCCCCAAATCCCCGTCCGGGAGGAAATTCCAAAAAGCCAGGCATGTCCGGGAAAATAGGGAGGGATCGTGGGGCTTGGAACCGGGCTGGAGCCGCTGGGGCCGGAGCTGGAGCCGCTGGGGCCGGCGGTGCTCGGCCGCTGGTCGGCACCGCTCGGCTAGGGCCGGGCCGGTGCCGCTCGGCCGGAACTGGGGCCCGAGCCGGGCCGGAGCCCCTGGGACCGGGGCTGGGGGTGCTCGGCCGGCACCGCTCGGCCGGGGCCAGAGCTGGGCCGGAGCCGCTCGGCCGGAACGGGGCCCGAGCCGAGCCGGGCCGGAGCCGCTGGGACCGGGGTTGGGGGGACTCGGCCGGCGCCGCTCGGCCAGGGCCAGTGCCCCAGGGCCCGAGCCGAGCTGGAGTCGCCAGGGCCGGGGCGGGCCGGAGCCGCTCGGCCGGAACTGGGGCCAGCGCCCCAGGGCCCAAGCCGAGCCAGGCCGGAGACACCGGGGCCAGAGCCGCTCGGCCGGGGGGGCCGGACTGGGCCGCACCTCCCAGCCCCAGCCCCAGCTTACCTGCTGCCTGCCTGTTTCAGGCTTCCCGAGAACATTTGATTCGCGGGAAGCAGGGGAGGGGGAAGAGCAGGGGGGCGGAGCGTTCAGGGGAGGGGGCGGGGTTGGGGTGGGGACTTTGGGGAAGGGGCGGAGTTGGGGCGGGGCCGGGGCCCCGTGGAGTGTCCTCTTTTTGTTTTTTTTAAATATGGTAACCCTACTCCACAGCCCCTGTGCAGCTGCCTGACCATGGCCCCTGGGGGCTCAGATGGAGACAGGATCTCCACCCCGGGACATTTACCGGTGCCTTCCCAGCTGGTCTGCAGATGAAACACACCCTGGTCTGTGCCCCCAGTGCCCTCCTTGAGTCCGGGTGGCCCTTTGGCCTCACACAGGAAGCGGATGTACTCAGGCGGGCTGTTCTGAAACGGTAGCTTGGAAAGGAGGGTGCCCCCCACTGCACTGGGACAGCAGCTGCCGTGTTCGGTTACTGGGTTCGTTCCCGGAGCTGTGTGGACGGCAGGGTCTGCCCTGCGGGTCAGAGCGTACAGGCGGGGCCTGCGCCAGGTTCATCCCAGCAGGCCCCACTTACTGACCTCCCCAGGGTGCAAGCTCTGGACTGATGGTTCGGCGCTCCCCCTCCATTACCTGACCTCCCGGGCCCGGTGCTCGGGGAAGGCCTCGTGGAAGTGCTTCAGCGCCTGCACGACGGCCGACGTGCACTCCACGTAGCAGTAGTCTATCATGATGTCACCTGCCAGACAGGAGAAGCAGCAGTGAGCATCCCCATCACATGGGGACTCATGGCCAGCAGGCAGCTTGAGGACAATGCCAGACACTGACAGGGGCCCTGCCTCCCCGGTGCACTCCCATCCCAGGAGCTGTGCTGAGGTGCTGTCTCTGGGGATGGGCACTGGCCGTGTGATTGCGCCGAGACCCCCCGAGCCTGCCTTGGGCACCACGCCCAGCAGACCTGGCCCTGCCTCCCCTCGCGGTTCGAGTGACAATAGCTGGGGAGAGCCCCAGCGCGCCTGCCCTTACCGAACACCTCCGAGGCGTTCAGGAGCTCCAGCAGCCGGCCCCCCCGCTTGGTTTCATACGTCGCGAAGCCTCCGTCAGGATTCCTCATGCTCAGCAACTGCCCGGACACGGAAGGGAAGAGATTGACGATCCAAACCAGCCTCGTTCACCCCCTGCTACAAATCACCCTTCACCCCTCTCCCGCCTCCGCCATCCCCCTCCAGAACCCTCGATCCCGAGGCCAGAAGGGCTGGCCTGACCTGCACAGCACAGGCCAGAGACCTGCCCCAAAGTAACTCTTTTCCAACGACCGCAGATCTTCTAAAATACAGCCAATCGCGATTAATTTTTTTTAGTTAATCACGTGGATTAATCGCAGTTAACTGACAGCCCTAATAAAAATATTAAACAGCAAGGGCTGGGAAACTGATCCCTGTAACACGCCTCTAGAAACACACCGCTTGGTGCAGATCCCCCGTTTACAATTACATTTGGAAACCCATCCGTTAGCCAGCTTTTAATCCATTTAATGTTTGCCAGGTTAATTTTGTATTGCTCTAGTGTTTTCACCAAATTTTGTGAGGTACCACTTTAAACATCTTACAAAAGTCTAAGTTTTATATCAACACTATTACCTTTATCAACCAAACTGGACAGGATCTATTTTCCATAAATAATTTTTATTATTCTAATTTTATTCTCAATGGCAACTGGCATTTATTATATTACCCTCCTTTCATTTTTTATTAATGGAGTTCCTTAGCTGCTCCATTATCTTGCCAGGGATTGATGTCAGACTGACCGACCTATAATTACCTTGAACATTTTATTTACCCTTTTCAAATACTGGCACAACATTAGTTTTCTTTCGGTCTTTTGCAACGTCCTCAATGTTCCAAGGCTTATTGAAAAATCAACATTTACAGTCCAGTGAGCTTCTCAGCCAGCTCTTTTAAAACTCTTGGATTCAAGTTATCTGGACCTGCTGATTTTAAAATGTCTAACTTTAGTTGCTGCTGTTTAACACCCTCCAGAGATACTAGTGGAATGTAAAGAGCATCATCATATGATATGACTACACCATCTGGCTTTTCCCCAAATACAGATAAAAAATATTTATTGAACACTTCTGCTTTGTTTTGCATTATTACTGATAATTCTATCATTTTCATCTAGTAATGGACCAACACCATTGTCAGGATTCCTTTGTTCTTAATATCTTAAAAAACTCCTTATTGTCCTTAACTCTCAGGCCATAGATTTCTTCTTGTGCCCCTTTGTTTCCCGCATCCATCATCTACAATTCTTAGCTTCCGATTTCAACTTCCCTTTTCTGCCATTTGTTATATATTGTTTTCTTATTTTTATAGGTGCTCTCACTTCTCCTCTAATCCAGGTCTTTCTATCCACTACCGCCTTCTTCCTTGATTGTGGGATTGTAGCTTTTGGGGCATCCAATTGTTCTTAAACAATTCCCAATTATCATCCACATTTTCTCTGATTAAATTCTTCCTCCCAGCTGATTTGGGTCATAGTTATTTAGCTTTGAGAGACTGGTCCTTTTAAAGTACCCAGTAATATGCCTCTGGTCTGGACTTTATTCTGTTTGCACATTACTCATGTGATCGAGTTATGATTACGTGTACCTAACCGTCCATTAATTTTTAGTTATGTGATCAGTTCTTCTTTATCTGTCAAGACGAGGTCTAATATACGGAGATATAGACCTATCTCATAGAGCTGGAAGGGACCCTGAAAGGTCATCAAGTCCAGTCCCCTGCCTTCACTAGCAAGACCAAGTACTGATTTTGCCCCCGATCCCTAAGTGGGCCCCTCAAGGATTGAACTCACAACCCTGGGTTTAGCAGCCCAATGCTCAAACCACTGAGCATTTCTTCCCCCTTTTCCCCCTTCCCTTTTGCTACCCTGTTTCCCCGAAAGTAAGACATCCCCCGAAAATAAGACCTACTTCCAGTTTTGCCTCTCGCTGTAATATAAGGCATCCCCCGAAAATAAGACCTCCCCGATAATAAGGCCACCCCGGAATATAAGGCCCCGAAGCTCCAGGAAAAATAAGACCTCCCCTGAAAATAAGACCTAGCGCATCTTTGGGAGCAAAAATTAATATAAGACACTGTCTTATTTTCGGGGAAACACGGTAGGAGCTGGCCAGAGCCAGAGGCACTTTTATCCTCCCCACGGAACAGCTGCCTGGTCTCCAAGGCCCTGGAGCCAGCTCAGGACGCTCGCTTCTGCTCCCCAAGACCTGGGCGAACGAGCTCCCTGCACGGGGTGTCTGTGCTGTGAGCAGACTGCCCACCGGGGAAAGGCGCTGCGCTGTCCCTCCATGCAGGGACAGAACAGGGACAGAACAGCTCTGAGCTCTCTCCCGCACACAGGGCAATCTGGTCACGTCCTGTCAGGCTGCATGCGCTGCTCCCGACTCGGGACTCATGAGCGACACCCGTTGGCAGCGAGAGGCGCTGCACTAACAGCCCTGCCTGGGCTCCTCCTGGGGTTCATGCCAGCCGGGCCCAGCTCACATCCAGACGTGATCCCAGACTCACGCCCAGCAGGCCGTATGCCCAGTCACAGGACGGCCAAGGCCCACAGAGGGAGAACATCCCCCACCCAGAAGCCATTTTGTTTTAAGCTGTTCCGAGATACGTGGCGCTGACTCTGGGGTTCTCCCCCAACCGGGTCTCCGCTGCCTCTTACCACATTCACAGCATCAAAGAGGCGCCCCGTGGGGACATGCTCTGCTATGAAGGGACACTTCTCCTGCAGCAGCATCACCAATTTCAGCCCCTCCGCAGTGCAGTCAGCCACGATCCAGCCGCAGTCACGGGTGCTGAAGGGGAATCCGCCCTGCGGAGTCAGGCACCAGCACTCAGCCCCAGGAGCACAGAGGCGAGGGAAACTCCCCCGCCAGGCTCTGCCCTGCCCAAGGGAAGGTGGAGCCCCCTCACCCAACCCAGCATTACAGCTCCGCTTGTGCACACGAAATGGGGAGAGAACGCTGGCAACCATCCCCCACTTCGAGTCCCGCAGGAGGCTGGGGAGACAGGGGAGTCCCTCCTCAACAGCGAGGTGGCACCAGGAGCTACTGCAATAGCTTTCACGCTGGAGGCTGGGACCAAACCCAAGTCTGGGCCCCAAGCAAAGTGCCAGTGGTGGGTGAAATCCAGCCCATGCCATGGGCAGGTGTCCAGACACATTCACCGAGCAGCTGGGCGCAACGGGAGGCCCTGGGGCAGGTGGGGCCCAGAGCTGGCACAGCGGGGGCTGCAGCCCAGGATGGCAGTGCCGTGGCAGAGCCTGGGGGCAGGAGCTCACGCTGTGTCTGGCTGCACTTTGCCTGTTACACGGGACCCTCCTAATTACCCAGGTGAGGCTGCCTCCCCCACCAAAAAATACCGTACTGGAGAAAACAACGCTGCCCAGCCCCACCACAAACAGGCCTTAGTGGGATTGTGCCACATCTCCTTCCATGGCAACTGGCCTGACGGCCACCCCGGACCCACGGCCATTGGCCTCAGCTTACAGAGCCCCTCCTCCGCCGATGCGATGTGTATTGGCCAAGCCCCGCCCCCATATGCAGACACCAAGCCACCTGCTGTTCTGCTTCCCATGCCCCGGGCACTGCCAGGTAAACGCCAGCTCGTGCCCTTCTTCCAAGCAGGCTGAGCCTGTCTAACTGCCAGCCCCTCGGCACCTGGGATCTCAGTCACGGCCGCAGACTCCTCCAGACACCAGAGAGTCGCTCTGCGGCCAGAGCCTCCCTCTGACGCTATCACAGGATAGATCCACTTTGAGTTGAAAAGGTTCGTTCCCTGCCCCGCGAGCAGCCCAGAGCTAGGGGCAGCCGGACACGTGAGGAACAAACATGGAACAACAGGGGAGAATCAACCCAGGGAAATCCAGGCCCGTGGCCAGCTGTACCTTGCTCATCTGGCGATAGTACTTCTGGTAGTCGGGCGGGTTATCCGGAATCTGCAGGAGATACGAGGAGCACCAGTGAGGAGGAACGGCAGGAGCAGCCTGGCTGCAGGCCCCATAGGCCCCACTGCAAGAGCAGAGCACTGCAAAGGGCAGGGGTCCCACAGCTATGGCAATGGCCATGGGATCAAGGCCAGCCGCGCCCACAGAGCACTCCTGTCTGCGCTGCCACAGTCTGCTCGCCAGAGGCCAGGCTGGGATTGGTGCTTGTCCGTGCCACGTGTCTCTGGATCAGGCCGGGGCCAAGGCTGGCCCTGGACTCTACCGCTGGGAGGGGATGAGCAGAAGGGACTTCCACAGCTGACCCTTTGCAGTACGCCCCAGTGCTGCCCTGGCGTGGCTGTGTCAGCACAGGGCACCTGGAGCTCTCCCCCGCAGCCCGGCTGCAGAGGGCCCTGTGCATCCACTTGTTTTCAGTGCTTCACCCCCGCAGAGCCCGGAGAGGGCCCCGCGGCTGGGTCCGCACCAAGCTTCCCATGAAACTGCCCTGCCACGCTGGGCCCAGCACCAGGGACAGGGCAGCCTGAGAGCAGACGGCTGCGGGGGTCTGACCTCCAGGTCAGCGAGCCCTGCTCAGAACAGGCCTGGACGATGGGGTCTTATAAAGGTAGCCAGCCAGTCAGGCAGCGGCATAGACAGCTGCAGCGGCACAGGAGCCAGCAAACAGAGCTGTAAACAGGGGAGTTTGGGGGAAGACTAAGAGAGGCAGGCAGAGGATAAGACAGGCTACTGAAGGGAGTGTGCAGTGTTCTAGCAGTGTCTTGGTGCTTGTTGGGGGTTTGTTGTGCTGTGGGTGGTGATGGTTTGGTTTGGTTTGTGTTTCCCAGATTTACAGGAATTAGGTGGGAAGCCTAAGACAGATACAGAGGCAGCAGTGGTAGTGACCCAAGCAGTGGAAGACACAATGAAGATGACTGGATGTGGAAGCTGCGGCATGTACATGATCCTGGAGGGGGTACCTGATAAGAGTTTTGTCTGCATGAAGTGCCACCTGATAGAGCTGATGGAAGAAAAGATCTGAGGATTGGAGATGCAGGTGGAAACTCTGGTTGAGTTTAGAAGGGGGTTCGAACGGATGATGGAGCAAAGACATGATGAGGCCGAAGGGAAAAGTTCAGACTTGCAGATGGAAGCAGGGCCAAAGAACTCTGAGGGGAGACTGCTGGGTGAGGAAAGTGGGGCCAAAGAACTCTGAGGGGAGACTGCTGGGTGAGGAAAGTGGACAGTGGAAGCATGTGACTAAGAGAACCAGGCAGAGGAACAGACGGGCTAGTGAAGGAGCAATAGAGCTCAGGAACAGGTTTGCGGGAGTTGGAAAATGAAGAAGGGGCACAGCAGGTGGTCGCTGAAGGTGAGAGGGCAAGGAAGAAGAGAAGAACAGCTAGTCCTATAAGGAGAGGGGAAGAGTCAACGGAGATGACGCCAAACATGAGCCCCAGGCGGATGGGTTGCAGAGGATTGCAAGAGTGAATTGGAATCGAGAGGACTTGCAGCCAAAGGGAACAGGGGATAGACCGGAGAATTGCACCGTCACCAGGAAAAGGCAGGTCTACGTGATTGGAGACTCCTTACTGAGAAGAATAGACAGGCCTGTAACCAGAGCTGATCCAGAGAACAGAAGGGTGTGCTGTCTGCCGGGTGCTAAGATACGGGATGTGGACCTGAGGCTGAAGAGGATCCTAACGGGAGCGGGAAAGAATCCGCTCATTGTCCTTCATGTGGGAACGAATGATACGGCTAGACTCTTGCTGGAATGTATCACAGGAGACTATGCCAGGCTGGGGAAGACACTTAAGTGATCTTCAGTGGGATTCTGCCTGTTCCTAGAGAAGGGCAACAAAGGTGTGACAAGATTATGACGATCAACAGATGGCTCAGGCAGTGGTGCTATAAGGAGGGCTTTGGGATGTATGGCCACTGGGAGGCATTCATGGACAGAGGACTGTTCTCTCGGGATAGACTTCACCTGAGTAGGGAGGGAAATAGACTTCTAGGATGGAGGCTGGCACAACTGATTAAGAGAGCTTTAAACTAGGAATTGGGGAATTATTAAATAATTCTACATGGGGAATTATTAGCTACATTAGAAAAGATGGGGATCAATATGAAAATTGAAAGGTGGATAAGGAATGGTTAAAGGGGAGACTACAACAAGTCGTACTGAAAGGTGAATTGTCAGGCTGGAGGGAGGTTACTAGTGGAGTTCCTCGGGGATCGGTTTTGGGACCAATCTTATTTAATCTTTTTATTACTGACCTTGGCACAAAAAGTGGGAATGTGCTAATAAAGTTCGCGGATGACACAAAACTGGGAGGTATTGCCAATACAGAGAAGGACCGGGATATCATACAGGAAGATCTGGATGACCTTGTAAACTGGAGTAATAGTAATAGGATGAAATTTAATAGTGAAAAGTGCAAGGTCATGCATTTAGGGATTAATAACAAGAACTATTGTTATAAGCTGGGGGGGGGGAATCATTTGGAAGTAACAGAGGAGGAGAAGGACCTCGGAGTATTGGTTGATCACAGGATGACTATGAGCCGCCAATGTTATATGGCCATGAAAAAAGCTAATGCGGTCTGGGGATGCATCAGGCGAGGTATTTCCAGTAGAGATAAGGAGGTGTTAGTACCATTATACAAGGCACTGGTGAGACCTAATCTGGAATATTGTGTGCAGTTCTGGTCACCCATGTTTAAGAAGGATGAATTCAAACTGGAACAGGTGCAGAGAAGGGCTACTAGGATGATCCGAGGAATGGAAAACCTGTCATATGAAAGGAGACTCAAAGAGCATGGCTTGTTTAGCCTAACCAAAAGAAGGCTGAGGGGAGATATGATCACTCTCTATAAATATATCAGAGGAATAAATACCAGGGAGGGAGAGGAATTATTTAAGCTCAGTACCAATGTGGACACAAGAACAAATGGATATAAACTCGACATTAGGAAGTTTAGACTTGAAATTAGATGAAGGTTTCTAACCATTAGAGGAGTGAAGTTCTGGAACAGCCTTCCAAGGGGAGCAGTGGGGGCAAAAGATATATCTGGCTTCAAGACTAAGCTTGATAAGTTTATGGAGGGGATGGTATGATGGGATAGCCTAATTTTGGCAATTAATTGATCTTTGACTATTAGCGGTAAATATGCCCAATGGCTTGTGATGGGATGTTAGATGGGGTGGGATCTGAGTTACTACAGAGAATTTGTTCCTGGGTGGCTGGTGAGTCTTGCCCACATGCTCAAGGTTTAGCTGATCGCCATATTTGGGGTCGGGAAGGAATTTTCCTCCAGGGCAGATTGGTAGAGGCCCTGAGGGTTTTTCGCCTTCCTCTGCAGCGTGGGGCACGGGTCACTTGCTGGAAGATTCTCTGCACCTTGAAGTCTTTAAACCACGATTTGAGGACTTCAATGGCTCAGACACAGGTTTGTTACAGGAGGGGGTGGGTGAGATTCTGTGGCCTGCGTTATGCAGGGGGTCAGACTAGATGATCATAATGGTCCCTTCTGACCAAGTCTATGATGCGGTGGTGAGAACACCAGTGGAGGTTCACGCGTGTGCTCCCATTGCCTCTAGCGCCTGTGGAGCAGCACCGGGAAACGGCACCCATGCAGGGACGTCACAGGAATCTCAGCGTCAGCCAGGCCCATGTGCCAGCTGTGTCCCAGGGCAGGCGGGTCTCCCTCCCTGAGAGAGGTGAGGCACACTCCGCTTTTAAAATCATTTTTTTTTAATTAATGGAGATATCCTATCTCCTAGAACTGGAAGAGACCTTGAAAGGTCATCAAGTCCAGCCTCCTGCCTTCACTAGCAGAACCAAGTATTGATTTTGCCCCAGATCCCTAAGTGGCCCCCTCAAGGATTGAACTCACAACCCTGGGTTTAGGAGGCCAATGCTCAAACCACTGAGCTATTCCTCCCCACCAAGGCCAAGCGCGCCGTGCCCTGCAGCACTCCCAGTCTGGGCTCCAAAGCTGGGTGGGGAAGAGCTCACTGCGAGAACCCTCACCGGAGCTGCAGGGGGACAGTGGCAGGGCTCTAGAAACAGGGGAACTAGAGAGAACCCGGCTGGGTCAGCCCCTACAGAAAAGCCCCATGGAATGTAAGAAGGGGAAACCTACAGATCCAGAGACATTCGACACGGGCGCACAAAAAGGACTCTGCAAACTAGTACATTTGATAGACAACGAAAGCCCCTGAGCTGAGCTAGCCGTTGGACCCACAGCATTCACCTCCCTGCCACGCTGCTTTAAAATGCCCCTGGGCTCTGATCCCCAGCCCCAAATGGAGTTAGACACCTCAATACCTTTGAGACTCTGGGCCTCTCTCCCTATCGTGTTCTGGTACCAAACCCCTTTCCTCTGTATCTCCTAGGACAGCCAGTGGCGCTGGGTGCTGAAAGCCAGCTAACGAAACTGTAAACCCTGTGTGTTCAAACGCAATGTGAAAAAGTGCAATTCCTGCTCACACCACACGGGTGCAGCACATCTCCGGAATTCTCAAGAATTGCAAAATAACGCTAGCTTTGTTCTAACAGCGCCAGCAAACGTTTTACAGTGAAACCTGGGGGTGCTGCAGCACCCCCATCCCCCTAGTTCCCGTGCCTATGACTACAGCGCATGAAGGGGATGAGCCGCATGGCTGGATGCCGAGAAGCTACGTGGGACACTGCAGTCTTACCAAAGTCAATGCTGACTCCCCACATCTGTGACCCCAACTCAGTGCTCACCTGGGTGATTTTGAGGAACTCATGGGCCCGTCTCAGACAGGAAGCGAATGCCGGGTCGTTCTGAGCACCAGCCTAGACAAGGAGGCAGACACACAAAATAAAGAGACGTCACTGCTCAGCTCTGTGATCAGTTTAGTTCTTCGGGAAAAACAAATTAGAAGAGATCTCCTGGAATCTGTGCCAGGCACGGTCACTCCCTGGTAAGAGTCAAATACAGCACTTTGGCCAGCCAGGGACTCCGGGGCACCAGAGATCTGCACTGGGGTGGCTCATCTCGCACTGGCTGGTACAGACGAGGAACAGGAACTCTCAGGCTCTGAGCGACTGGCGGAGCAGCATCGCAGTGCCTGATGCTGGAGCTACGCCAAGCAACACATCTCCATCGCTCGCTCGGAGCGGTCAAAGCCCCGTCTCTGTATTCCAGCATTGCTGCTGGTTCCGAGCAGTGCTGGGCTCTGGGCGGGTTTTACCACTGGCAGGTGCGATATGGCCCATCTTCGTACCAGTACCCCAAAGAGAACACAGCGCATGCGGGGAAGAGGTAACAGGAACTATCCTTGGTCCCTGCCCATGTGCATTTCAACGCCTACCCACCAGTGCTGTGGGGCCACGTGCCTGCACCTGACGGGAGTTAGGACAGTATTTTCAGGGGCCATCACCGGCAGCGTGCCACATGCTATGGAACAGCTATAGCGGCTCTTCCCTACGCGCCTGCCAGCTCCACGCCTGCAGCTGGCCAAGTGCAGGTTCCCAAGCGGCGTGACAGTGCTGCTCATCTCCGGGTGTTACTACAGGGGACACGTGCAGAGCCCCGTGCCATTCTAGCCTTCCTCCAGTGACACCTCGCACCCAGCGTTCAAAGGCCAGTCCACCTGCAAACCTGCACACACCTGCCTTTGTACGCAGGTGCGTCCACCCGACGCTACGGGGCAGTAGCTGTTCTGCCCCTTAGCGTGCATTCAGAGCGCGCTGGGATCGCAAGCCTGCAGGGCTCTCTCTAAGAGCTGCGCTCTGGCTGCACCACCAGTTACTGGCTCAGCGCAGGGAGCTCGGGGGACATTCTCTGGCCTGTGCTCTGCAGGGGGTCAGACTCGACGATCATCACAGCTCCGTCTGCGCTTGACACCCGAGGCTGTCGAACCCTCTCTCTAGTGTTGCTGTTGAGCGTACACTGTAGGAGCCGGGCCCCCAAGAGCCATGGCACTGAGGAAAGTGCAGGATGGTGCCTGTCTGAGACCCACGTCCCTTGCGGGGCAACCCAGCAGGCTGGCACAACAGCAAACATTACCTCCAGGAAGGCTTGGACGGCAAACGCTGTGTCCCAGAGCTGGGATCCGTTGGTGCCCTGGAACAGAAGAGTGTGCAATGAGAAGCAGCTTTTCAATCCGCCCCAGGCTTCCCGCCCACCCCTACGGGCCATGCTGCCTGCAGGCGCCACCACGCTGTACCAATGGCCGTGTAGACAGAGAAGGCTATAGGGCACACTGGCTGTGTGCAGACACGCAGCACAGGCACCGCCACACTGCACCAATGGGCCCTGTGCACAGGAAGGGCTGCAGCCTAAGGGAACACACTGAGGCAGAAACGGGCAGCAGGAGCAGGGTTATGGGGTTTTTCGGTTCGGGGGATGGGGTTAGACTTTCCCTCCAAAGCTATGTTAGGGTCTGATCCTGCAAGCCCCTCATGGACCCAGTGCAGGATGGCTCCGGGCACCTCACTCAATCCAGTATTGGTGTCTACAGCACCCTAGGCTGCAAGCTGCATCCCACACACAGCGACTGGAAACAAGAGAAAGCCCATAGCAGCATGCAGAGCGTGAGCCGTAGGGACGGGATGGGATGGGACGGGGGTCTCTGAGCTGAGATGTGAAGCGAGGCAGAGCCAGGAAGGCTGGCCCAGAGGGCAGGAGCTGCAGGGACTCGGCTCTCGCACAGCAGAGGAGGCCGGAGGGAACGGGAGAGAAGCTGCAGCAAGCCCACCGAGGGGTTCAAAACGAGGGCAGTTTGGCCATGGATCCTGAACCCAGAGGGGAGCACGAGGAGGGGACTGGGATGGGCCGACGGGGCTCCAGGCACATGGGGGGCTTGGGCAGCAGCATGTGGGCCCTGCTGGGCTGGGCCGTGGGGCAGCCCCAGAGAGGGCAGGTGTGGTACTCAAGCCCCAAGGAGATGAAGGCTGGGAGGAGGTCTCGATGGAGCACTGCACTACTAGACCGCCTGCATGGCGGGTCTGTGAGTGCTCTGCCGGCCGGGGCCAGGCCGTGACACAAGGAACAGTCCATGTTTGCACAAACAGACAGCAGTGCGAATGGCTGGCTGGGCGGCAAGGGGAGCCGTGGGGCGGGGGAGGAGGGAGGTGGCAGAGCTGTGTCTGGGGGGGATGCACCGCTGTCCCGGGAGAGGCACGTTTGTCTGGGAGACACTGAGCTGCAGGAAGTGGGACAGAGAAGCAGGCCTGCGTGGCCAGGGCATGGGGGAGCAGCATGCAGCCCCTTTCCTTGCTGGACACTCAGCAGGGGCCAAGCAGCCGTTAGTGCTCGGTTCTAGCCCCCCAGCGCAGGTAGGAGAGGGGCTGCCCGCTAACGTAGGGCCAGAACCGCACAGCAGAGACAGGACAGGACGGGACTCCTCCCCTAGGCTCCACCCCAGGGGCAATGCATGTGTGGCAGGGGCGAAAGGCCAGAGTGAAGGGGCTGGGCACGGGATGGCGGGTGCAGAGCACCCCCCAGAGGTACAGGGGAAGCAGCTGCCTGAGAGCACGGACACACACTGCTCCCGATACCAACCCCTTCTACCCTCTGCCAGGAGGAGGAGCAGGGACGGGAGAAGCTGCTGCTGTGAGCCGCACAGCTGGGCCAGGGCTGGTCCTATTACTATTAACAGCCCGGCAGGAAAGGGAGACATTGCAGGGGTGGCAGATCCCCCGAGGCAGAGCAGCCTGGCGAGACCCCCTTTGCAGTACGTGCTCAGTCCCTGGGTGAGGGGTCCCTGCCCAGCCCTGCGAGCTGCCTCAGCAGCAGCGAGAGGGTGCCCAAGGTCCCTGCATTCACTGCCAGGGCCACAGCGCCTTACCTGCATCTTCATGCCGTCGAGTCCCAGCCTGCGTGGAGAGAGAGCACATCACTGCAGCAGCCTGGGGAGCGTGGTGCTGTCCCCAACCTCCCTCAGCCCCCAGGCATCTAACACTGCTGCTAGGGCACGGAGTACTGAGCTTCAGGGGCAGCCTTGCAGATTCCCCAGGGGCCCTGGCCTGCCCCTTCCCAGCCTGACTGGGAGAACTGGAGCGAATGGGACTCATTAATAAGGAGCCAGCATCTGGAGCTGGCTGCTGATCAGTGCAAGACCCCGCCCCCCTCACGTTCGCATGCCGCCTGCACAGAGCTCCCTGCTCCTGGGCCCTAGGCAGCGTGGTAGCCCTGGGAGCACAGCAGGGAACCCCATGGCAGGTCTGGGCAGCAGGTTCCCTGCTAGGGCCTGGGGACTCCCGCGCGGGGCAGAGCGGCTCTCTCTAACTGAGCCCTGCGCTGTCTCCAGGGCTGGGGAGGTTCATGGGCCTGGCCTTACCAGAGGTAATCAGGGATCCTGGAGACATGCTCCTGGAAGGCTGGAGAGCTCTCCCCATCCACGTACCAGCGAACCAGCATGTTAATGGTCTTGGAAATCTGCCGAGAGAGAAGGCGTCACTCCCCTGCAGAGCGCAGTGGTGTTCAGCTCGGGCCTGCACAGCATGACCTGACCTCATGACCAGCCCCAGAGCAAACCCCAGGCTGGGGGCTGTCTGCAGGGGAGCGAGCACGTCTACATGGGGCTCTGGTCACAGAACGGACCCCTTGGCATCCCCATGTCTGTTCCCCATCACAGGGCAGGAGATCACTCTCCAGCCAGGGCCTTCCACCAGCTGACTTCACACCCCCCAGCTGTCCCCAGCAAAGACTCTGCAGAGGGGGGCATCTGGCACGCCCTGCCTCCACTGCCACTGTACAACGACCAGGCGGCTGCTCACGCTCTCCTCTCCCGCCAGCCTCCTCACTCCCCTTGTCATCCGCCGTGAACTCTCCTGTGTGCAGCGCCCAGCACAGCAGGCCCTGAGCCTGCCTGGATTGCTGGTTGCTATGGTTAACGTGCCAGCAGCAGGGCGTCTGTGCAGAGCTGGGGAGTCCCAGGCCGGTCTCTCCCGCACCTGGGCAGGAATTGGAGCCAGCTCCATTGATTCGTTGGGAACGGTAACGAGCAGCCTACCGGGCCAATGCTGATGGCCTTGGTGAATCTGTCGTCAGCCTTGATGTGGTCGTACAGCTCCGCGATGGCTCGCTGCCTCAGCCGGGCGCTGTGGTGGGCTTCGTACACGTTCAGGATGGCTGAGACGGGAACAAGAGAGACACAATAAGGAAACTCTTACCAGCTGCCTGGTCCCAACTCCTGTGCGAGCAGGGCCCGGCCCCGAGCCCCAGAGAGCTCCCCCCATCCTTTCCCCAGCTGGCCAGGGCTCTGGGGGGAGCAGGGCGAGAGCCCCAGAGACACAGCCCCAGAACGCTCCCCACCTGGACTGAACCTTGGTTGTTTCACTGCTGCTCAGCCCGAGACAGGACCAGAGGGAAGGTGGGAAGCTGCTGAGTGGGGGACAGAACCTGAGGTATTAAGATTCACTCAGTGCCCCAGCACACAGCCCACGCTGGACTCAGCCTCC